CCACTGCATGTTTTATCTTTTTTTCTGGAATTCCTGTTATTCAATCTTTGTCATCCTGTACAGGGCTTTAATCTTCTTGTATTTTTTCTATCTTTTTTTGTTTGTTTGTTTTAGAGACCAGGTCTTGCTAGGTTGCCCAGGCTGGTCTCAAACTCCTGGGCTCAAGCAATCTGCCCACTTCAGTTTCCCAAAGTGCTGGGATTACAGGTGTGAGCCATCATGCCTGACCCGCTAATATTTTTTATTTCTTTTTTGTTCTATTTTCTGAAAGATGTCTTCAATCTTATCTTCCAAACGTTTTATGGAGTTTTTTCATTTTTTATCATGCTTTTTATTTCCCAAAAGGTTTGTTTTTGGTTTTTTTTTTTTTAGTCAGAGTCTCACTCTGTCGCCCAGGCTGGAGTGCGGTGGCACACTCACAGCCACTGCAGCCTCAACTTGCTGGGCTCAGGCAATCCTTCTGCCTCAGCCTCCCAGGTAGCTGGAACTACTGGTGCGTGCCACCACACCCAGCTAATTTTTAAATTTATGGTAGAGATGAAGTCTTGCCAAGTTGCCCAGGACTCCAACCCCTAGGCTCAGGTAGTCCTCTAGCCTCCGCCTCCCAAAGTGCTAGGATTATAGGCATAAGCCACCGCACCCAGGTTTTTCTTTTAAAGAAGGAGAGATAGCCAGCTGTGGTGGTTCAAGCCCGTAATCCCAGCACTTTGGGAAGCCGAGGTGAGTGTACTGCCTGAACCACGGGTTTGAGACCAGTCCAGGCAACTTGGCAAGACCTCATCTCTACAATAAATAAAAAATTAGCCAGACATGGTAGTGCACGCCTGTAGTTCCGGCTACTTGGACGGTGAGTGTGTGTATAAAGGTGATATTTGGGCTTCGAGCAAGTCCTCCCCCCGCAGTGGTGAGAATGGTGCCCAAGGGGTGGTTGTGTGCCCCTGGTCCCTCACCGCTCCTTCCCCCTTTAGCAGTGCCCGGTGTCTGTGGTTCCTGTCTTTGTGCTCATGTGTGCCCAGTGTTTAGTGCCCACTTATGAGTGAGATTGTGCAGTATTCAGTTTTCTGTTGCTGGGATAGTTCACTCAGAATGATGAGGTGCATGCAAAGAACATAATTTTTTTTTTTATGATTCCAAATGCTCTTTGATTTATTTAATTTTTTTGAGTTGGAGTCTCACTGCAGACTGGAGTACAGTAGCATGCTCCCGGCCACCGCAGCCTCGACCTGCTGGGCTCCGGCGATCCTTCTGCCTCAGCCTTCCAAGTAACCAGAACTACAGGCACCCTCTACCACGCTTGTCTAATTTTTGATTTATTGTAGAGATGAGGGCTCACCAAGTTGCCCGAGTGGGTCTCAAACCCGCGGGCTCAGGCAATCCACTCACCTCGGCCTCCCAAAGCGTCGGGATTACAGGCTGAGCCACCGAGCCCGGCCGCAAATGCTCTTTTTAAGTAGGGTCCTGTTCCTCTTGTCCTTGCCTCTCTTTTTTCTCTGAAGACATTGACTGTCTCATTTTAGTTTTGGATATTTTCTTCCTCCTCAGGCAGGGTGGTTAGTACAGGTTCGGCATAGACAGGTAAATTTTTTGTAGGCAGGTATTAGGTTTTAGAAAATGTTCAAGCCGGGTTTGGTGGCTCAGCCTATAATCCCGCACCTTTGGGAGGCTGAGGTGAGTGGATTGCCTGAACCCGCGGGTTCGAGACCCGCCTGGGCAGCGAGACCTCATCTCTACAATAAATCAAGAAATCAGCCGGGTGTGGTAGCGCATGCCTGTAATTCCGGCTACTTGGAAGGCTGAGGCGGAAGGATCGCCGGAGCCCAGCGGGTCGAGGCTGCGGTGGCCGGGAGCGGCCACTGCACTCCAGTCTAGGCGACAAAG